GCCGCCCGCACACACACACCCGCGCTAACACACACATACACCTCACTCAGAATGTCAATTTCTCCCCTTCGTTTTTCTCTTTTCTGAATAAACAATCATTTGGAATTTAGCTGTTCAAACTTTTGCAAAGGTACTCACTTACTGAACTGTGACTTACTCACTTAGTCATTATCCTCGCACCAAACGTGCGCAATCTTTGAACGGATGATAATATTATTACGATAAATTGATAATTATTGTCTTAATGTCAGCATGAGTTGTGTTGAGACAAGTCTAAAATGCTGACTTGGTTCTTACAAAAAAGTTTTTTCTGTGCCCTGTTTTGGTGATAAATAGGCCCTAGATCTACCAGAAAATAAGACTTTTATACTATAAAAATAATATGACTATTCCCGAAATTGAAGATCTGAAAAGCGAGTCAATAAAATGCTGTGCTCGGTTTTGGAAAAGATTAAGGTTGACCGGGGCCAGCGCTTGTTGTTTTCGATCTCGAAAGAGAAAAAGATGGTTCGTGGTTTTCCTGATAATAGTCACGTCTTTTGTAACTATGTATTTGAACCACAAACTGTCAGAAACTAAAGAGTTAAAGGTGTCACGTATGGTTACTAGAAATAGAAATAGACGAAAGATACGCGTAGGTAAGTGTGCATTGTGTTGAAGTTGAAGGAGTTCATTTATGATTTCTTGTCGTTTTGTGGTGTTGCTGAGTAAAAATCAAGCAGTTGAGTTTGATGTATGGAACAATTGGGATAGGGCATGACAAAAACGGATTCATGGCGGATCCGCGTACAAAACCCGTCTAAATTAAGAACAACAAACATGAACGTGTATTCTCAAGTCGTGATATTATTATTTTTACATTTGGTTTCTGTTCTCTCTTTTTTACTTCTTACCTCTCCTTTGTTTTCTACTAGGAATACAAAGCCCCGATTTAAAAAATGATAAATGTGTGCCCGGAAAAACTAAGCTATTGTAGAAATAATATTGATCTAGGTACATTTTATATCGGGGTAAATACTGTAACTTCTCAAACACGAACCCGCACACAGATGCACTGCTTTGGGGGGGGGGACTGCGTATCTTTTTTCTGCAGACCACACATATAGTCACTAAAACTGTCGCAAATCAATTATTTAAACCAAATTGCAAAATATCAAATTATGGATTAAACCCCCCAGATTATTTACTTGATCTAGAGACACAAAGCATTTTGATTGGTCTATCTCCGTCGGAGACGTCTCGGAATAGATACTGCGTGAGTTTTTTTCCCTTTTCAGTCAGTCCTGCATCGTATTTCAAATTGTGTTTTTTCGATTAACTTTTAGTTCTAAAGGGCTAAAATAGGTCAGAATGTGGTGTAAAAAAGCTGAACAGACAACCCAACGTCCCTTTAGGTTTTCACATCGCAGTCCACAAAAAACACCTTTAAGCGTGAAACGACAGTCTACAGTGGGCTGCCCTCTGCTCAAAAGTGTTTTCAAGAATTCGTGGCGCAACTTTTTGTCAAATAACTCATCAACTATCGAACACAAACTCTCCAGCTTTTGCACAGTGACTTGAATCAATTTGTCTTAACAGATCTAATTTTTGTAAACGCCTGTCAGCTCTATTCTAGAAAATTCCTTAATATATAAGATTTTTAATAACAAAAATCCCACTGGGTGGTTTCTACAGATTTTAAAAGGTTTACAGCTGGGACACTATCGCTTTAAAAAGAAAGTCCGTCATGTTTTTCAAATTGTGACACTATTCTTTTGAACACATGTTTTGAGAACTTTAAGTGCAAAAAAAAATGTTTTCTATAAAATTAATTTCTTGTCACTAGTTTTGCTACTAAAAAGTGTCGTTGGTCAGCTGTGACGTAGGCCATATACGTACGCAAAATATGTGTGAGCAGCGGGAAGTGAATATGAACAATTCCATCTTCCGCGTGAAAGATATTTGAAATATTCTATATAAATTTATGAGCAAAACATTTTTAATCTAGCCTCAATTGTTGTGGAAAATATGATTCAGTTCAGACAAATTGAAACATACTACTGTGCAAAGTATGGGTGATATTGATTCACCCGTTAAAAAAGATATTTGAGATAAGTTGCGCCACGAATTTTTGACCGTACTATAAAAATAATAATCTATCAAGAATGGTTTAGGTCGTTACAAAGCAAAACATTTGGGGCTTCCTAAGAACATAACAAGGCTGAGGGGGGAAACAGTCGAAAAGGAAAAGAAAATTAAAACTCCCTAGATTCAAAAAGCGAACATCAAGTGTACTGAACAAGTGTGTTCATAACTTTCAAAACAGTGACCCACAAAATACGTTAATCTTTTTTAGATCGCGTAAGTCTTACTGTTGTCCAATAGTCAAGTGTCAATAGAGACATGAGAAAGACGTGGGCGGCTACTTTATAAACAGATTCGCTCCTTCTGGTGAAGAGCTAATGGGTTTAATCGGCAATAGTCTGAAGAACGGTGTGTTGACTTTGCTTGGCATTTAACATCTAGCTCCTCAAGCGCTCGTTGGTTTTAAAGGGTTTACTTTAGCCTCTTTCGGTGTTGAAATTCAGTTTGTTTTTCCTTTTAACTTCAATTACAGAACATTTAGAAGATGTCGGGTAAAATATGTTGGTTGTGGTGGCTTGTAAAAAAGAAGCCCGAAGAGTTCTGAGAATGCCAGAGGCACTTTAAGAATAATATATATTGTTCAGCGTGTCTCGCTGCTTTGAGTAGCTAGGCGGACTATGGAAAATACTAATAGTGATCTAAGAAGAGATAGGGAGTCTGTTGCTGTTTGATTGAATGAATGCCTAACATTTGACAATTTCTTTCTAATCATCATCACCCCTTTACTACATGGAAAACCTTAACCTCAGCGATCAAGATTACACCTTTTTCAATTTCACAGTTGCTTAGTTGCTTCAGAAGCAAACTCTAATTTTAATTAATTGTCTGTTTGCATCTGTCTGTGCCATTCTCTCTCTGTTTCTCCCTGTCTGTCTGTTTGTCTGCCTGTCTTTCTCTCTCTGTCTCTCTCTCTCTGTCTCTCTCTCTCTCTCTCTCTCTCTCTCTCT